ACAGTTATGGGTTTGGACATCCTTTTTATAATAAATTTTTTTTTTAGAAAAACAGTTTCCAGTTTAGTTTACTTTAGAAATACAATTTCCAACTTACATGCAGGGTTGTTCAGTTACAGATATAACTACTGATGGTACAAACCACATTATATTTAGCAGTCTTGCTTGGACATATTTATTTCAGAACTAGAAGCCTCAGCCATGGAGCAAGACCCAGTGTCCCACTTACGTACTCTGCCAATTGAGAAGAAAGAAATTATTCTGCCCCCCACCCCCCCCCCCCTACTTTCTCTTCCCTGGACATATCTTACTATCAGAATAGGAATTTGAAGTAGTAATAGTCAGAATTTAGGGTGGTAGAATAAGAGATTGGTTTCAGAGGTTCATAAAAATCCAGCATGCATATCTATGCTGATCTAAATCTATTGTGGAAAACTTATATGAACAAATTGTGTCGGAAGTTTTCCAGCATTTCTGATTATAATTCAGGTACTGCAGGAGTGGGTTTTTTGTTTGTTTTGTTAAATATTTCTGCACTTCTGAATGTGATACCGTTGGTCAGAATGGAAAATGAAACACAAACAATAAAATCCTGTCACTTCTAAGATCTGAAATGTCAGGTACATTCCTCCTTGCATGTTTTAGATTTTGTCATTTTTCCCTAAACAGATGATTTATAGGATTTATTTATACTGGAATTGACACTTGCCAAAGAATGATGTTCCAATTGTACGAATTCTTAAAGGTATAGGGAAACCTGACTAATATGCAGAAATAGAGGGTAAGCAAAATGTACTTCTCAGAACTTGCAGGAATTAATTCTTAAAATTTTTCCTGGAGTTCTCTGTTTCCTGACTGTCTTAGCGGGGCTTCCCTAGTTGCTGGTTGTACGTGATCATTCTGTCTGTCCACCTCTACGTCCTCCTCTACCCAATAGCTTTTGAACCCATTGGCCGCTAACAGCCACGGTGGCCTCAGAGCCAGCATGTTCACACAGGCTTTGTGGGTTTGGGGAGCTGTCAGGGAGGTAACTCCAGCCACAGCTATTCTGAAAGGGAACAGCCAGGCAGTTCATGGGGACTGTCCGGCAAGCACGCTCTTGGCACTAAGCTCACCAGCATGAGTGGTGCCAGTGGCCCAGCTAGACTGGCACAAGATAAAAGAAGAGCTGGATGATATCCAGATGCAGTGGATATGCAGGATGTAGATTCTTTAGTTCCCCTGGTTGTAGAACATCTTGTGGGTTTTGCTTCACCTGTCTTTGTATTTTCACACATTGAATTGGACTTTTTCCTAACAATTTTAGTTTTGAATGCTTCATTTCAAAGCAGCGTTTATTTTTTCTTATTATTCATATTATTTTAAGATACAGAGACTAGAGTTGTAATTATGGCTGTATTAACAAAATCTTAGCAAAGAAATAGCAGGAACCAGGCCCTCTGGTCAGGTAGTTATATAGGAAAGCTAGAAAGCCAAAGGAGGAATAAAATGAGAAAGCTTATTGGAACTTGCCTAAAGCCCATGGTGAGCATAGGATTTCAAATTCTCTGTCCATTTTTATTTCCGTTGGAGTACACTCTCTCTAATTTAACCGTCTTTATCTGTGAAATAAGCCTTCTTTGCTCTGCCTGTTTCATAATGCCTTCTGAGGAGGTTTTACTGCGGAAGAATGCTTTTCTGCTGCAATGCTAACTTATCCTCCACCTTGATAAGGCAGTCCAACCGAGAGTTATAAGAAACAAGTGTTCTTATCATAAACTACATTTTGAGAGATATAGTGATGAAACAATAATTTAAAACAGAGAAGAAGAATTGTTCTCTAAGCAGAATTAAATTGTTAAAGCAAAGATATCATGGACAATGGGGGCATTACAAAAAATTTTATTCAGCCTCTAAAGAAGATTGGACTAACCAAAATCTGTTTCAAAATGCCAAATGACTTTTTCATTGTTGAATTATTTATTGCCCCAAATGTTCCAAACAATGATACCAACAATTAAAACTTTACCTAATATAGCATGTCTTTCTCAGTGCTTCAATCTATATTTCACTAGGAGTGAACATAACCCTTTGAAATGCACAGAACAGCTAAGCGACATTGTGGCTCTCTTTCAAGAACCAAACTAGTGAATTCTCCACCCTAAAATGTACTCTACCAGTCACTTTAGCAAAAAAGCTCCTGTGACACTGCTGGTCAAAATGTCAATCACTGTAAAATTAACAGTTGAGCTGAGTGTGTAAAATCTTTGTAGCTGTGTCACTGCAATGTTTAGGAAACAGCAATCCTGAGAAGAAATATTCAAGAAGGAACAGAAACTGTCCACTTTATGCACACTTGCATGGTTGTGTGCTATCTGGGCCACAGTTAGCTTGCTGTGAAAACAAAACATAGCTTTATTTAAAAAGTGAAACAAATTAGTTGTTAAGTGGGGAAACTCACGGTGAACACTCCAGCTCCTTTGTTTAAGAAGATGTATTTCTGTTTTTAGTTGTAATTTGCATGCCTGCTTTGTGATATCTGAAAACAGTCGAAGGCACATCAAATGTTATTTTAGCATCCTTTCTCTCCCCTCCCCCAATTTCTCCAGTTGTGAGAAAGATCTTTGGAAAAGTAACCCCACCCTGCTAATCCTGGAAAAGCCTTAGAGAAGCTATTTTTGGCAGATGAGGTTGGGCCTAAGCAAATGAAATAATAAAATACTACAAGTATTTGTTAAATGTCAAATCTTGTTCAGTCCTCAGGATGATAGAAATATTTATCTGCTGGATATAAAGGGTAGTACACATTGGACAAGCTGTGAGTTGTTACAAACTATGAATTGTTTCAGATCTGATTTTCAAACCTGTATGAACGCTTCTGCTCAGTGGCATCATCTGTAACTGTGACTGTACTAAACTTCAGAGAAGTTCCTTAACAGCTGAAATAACCAAAGAGCCACTGTTGCTAATCTTGTTGGTAACCTGTGGTATAGTGATAGCAGGTTGCAGCTGTGATTTTGGATTAAATAGATTGTGGAGGGACAAAATAATTCCATCATCATGACACACAGGTGGCAGTGAAATGGCCAGTGTGGGTGGGCAGTAGGAGGGGTGATGCAAGATAGATTTATATCTGTCTGTAAGCTCACTGACTTTCTGGATAATACAGGCATAAGATCTGCAATTTGCAAGACTATGAAATGTCTCTAGAGGAGAAGTATCACAGGACTAATGTCCTGTTTCACTTTTTTCTGTTCCTGTTAGCGATAACAGGCAAAGGAACATGGAATTTAGACACTACCAGTATAAAGACAGAAGGCTAGTGTAACTTTTTAAGAACAGAAGCAACATGGTACATTTAGCATTTGGAGAGTGAAGTCATCATTAGGAGGGCAGAGATGCATGCAGAATTTAGAGGTTGACATTAAGTATCATCTGACGTGAAACTCTCTTGGAAAGTTAGAAGCTGAAGATCTGAGCAAGGGATAGTGCACTTACAGAGCACCTTGTCAATTCTTTAGAGGTATTAGTTTCATGTTAGCTGTGACAGTGACCTTCTTGATTTCACATGATTTCTTTCGTTGCAAGAATTGGTTTAAATATGGCTTTGTGACCTATTATTTGAGGTCTTTGCATAACACATAACGAGGTTGCAAACCTTCGCAGTCTTGGACCACAAACCTCCTACTGGTCCCAATAGGAGTTTAAAGTCCAGGGTCAGACTCCAGCTCATTATAGAAACATGGACAACATAGATAAAAGCGGTCTGACACATCACATATAGTAATGAGACATCTGTCTTGTCACCTAAGTCTACAGTTTACAAGGCAAACAAATAAGATATTCACCAGAGCTGTGTGTATGTCTCGTAAGAGTTAAAGGAGATTAAATGGTGCAGAAATCCCATCCCTGTCTGAGTATGAAGACATTTTTGTTCTTCCCTCTTTTGTTTCTTTCTTTATTTAATCGATTTCTCCTTTGAAGTGAGATTTGAATACATAAAGTAATGGCCAGGCAGATACTATATTTTGCTGCCCTCTCATTTTCAGAAACTGAACTATACAGATAACAGACTGACCAACAAGCATGGCCATTGTACTTGTGAAAAATCTAACTGGCTGTTGTGCGAACAGCTTTTTAAAATTGATCAAACAGATAAATGAAGGAGGAGCATCAAATTACATTTTGTTTGATTCAGTTGTCTATAAGAAAACAATTTCTTATGGTTCAAGTAATAAATTCTTACATGAATTTCTTAGTCAGTCATAACTATCGTTTCCACCTCTTTTGTCTCTTTTCCTTCCTTCCCCATGCTTAAAGTGCAACACCAAATTGCTTCACTCCTCACACTTTTCTGTGTTTCTTCCCACTTTCATTGTTCATATTGCTTTTTAGCTTGTTTTCTTTGCTCGTTTTCCCCCTCAGGGGTTCTCATTCTTTGGAATATTTATTCCACATCATGGAAAAGAAATTAAGTGAAACAGAATCACTGAAGTTAGAGTGTCTTGCACTGCAGAAACTGGGCAGGTTGTAAAATCATTCATCTTTTTCTCTTCCTTCCTGTTCCTTTCCTATATCCTCTCCTTTCTTCCTGTTGTAGTCTACACCTTTCTTTCCTTCTGACTCCCACCATTATCACAGTAGTATTTCCCCATCTGCAAAGAGAACCAGGCAGCATAAGCAGGCTCCTTTGCTGGACAGAAGATAAAGGAGGAGATAAAATCTTTGCTATAAATAGCTTCAAAATGGCTTGAAAGCTTTAGATTTGATTGGCTTGGCTTGTGGTATGGGACAATATAGCTTGACAGCTCTGACAGCCTTCATGAACATAGACAGCCAGTCTATCTCCTACGTTCTGTTCTTTATCATTTGCCATCCATAAACCTTCTGTAATTTGAAATGAAAGTTTGACTGAGATATTTTAAATCCATTCAAACAGAGCTAGCAGAGACTATAAATAACATATCAAACGTGAAAATAGCAATGATTCCCCCTTCTCTTTCTTGCCTGTTGTCTTGCAGTGGAGAAAGAGGTTCTGGGAAGACTGAAGCCTGCAAACAAATACTGAAGCACCTCACTTGCAGAGCCAGCTGCAGCAGAAATACCTTTGATACAAAGATAAAACATGTAAGTAGCATTCTGATCACTGAGTAGGACAAACCAGAAATCTGACCTCTTGGTCAGATAGACATTTGAACTGTAAGGGAAGAGGCATCTGCTATGCAGAAGTTCATAAAGGGTTTGTTTTCACAACAAAGGAAGATTCTTTCCCTGAGTTGCCCTGAATGGGAACAGGCCTAAGATCACCCTGGTGTGATGAGAGGAATCTGAAAGGTGGAGGCGAGTTTTGTTTCTGTGTTTTGGTGACTTTGGAAAGCAGTGTTTCAATGAATAGGAAACATTTGTGTGATAAGGTACTGTCTCCTAAATGTGTACTAATTGCCTTCAGTAAGCAAATAAATTTATCTGTATGGTTGTGGTGGTGCTTTTCTGGACAGTCTAAGAAGTGCTGAGGCATCTGAAGTAATAGTATGTAAGACAGAACCTGGAAAGTTGCAGGAAAACTGCTAGGACTGAACAAAGTTATATGGCCCAGTATTTGTATACTAAATGTATTTATGAAATAGGCAAAAGTTCTGAATATTTTCTCGGTCATATTAAATCCCCACAGCAGAACCAAATTCTGCCCAGCACGTATCATGAAATCTTGAGAACCTGCTTCACATATCAGATGAATTTGTCTCCTTGCTAGTAGATTGTAAATGTAAAGATTTCGTTTGACTGAACATTGCAACTCGTGTTTCATTGTTACAGATGTAACACTACTATAAAAGTTCATACTGAAATTTTAAATTATGCTGAACCCCAGATTGCTAATTCAAATTCTTGTAAAAAATTGCCTTTCCTGATGAAACTTCTCATCTGAGATCCCAGCTCAGAGGCAGATTTACACAGAATGTAGTCTGCGTTGTTGTAGCTCATTTCTGAGTTTCATACTTTAAAAAAAAATATGTTTAGGATCTTTCACCCGTTCTGGTGACCTTCCTCTACAGCACTTACAGTCAACCCATGATACTTTTTCTTTTTTTTTTTTAGTTTTCGCTTGTCACATGCATGATATTCAACAGAGTTTTAGAATCATTAAGTGTGAGGGTTTTTAATAGTATCACACGCATCATTCAAAACACACTGCTTTCTTCCTGAATTATGCATAACTTGGTCCAGAAAGATGATAAAATAGTGTCAGAAGTATGGCTGATGCTAACAGACAACCTATAAATCAGGATTATTGGGATGTGGGAAAGGCTACAGATACACTGGTTCATATTTTGTACATTCCAATTGATAAGGTAGTAAAAGTCCTATGGATTTTGGGTGGCTTTTAGAAAACAATGTTGCATTTGTGTTTTTTGAAGACATTAAAAAAAGCGTGGTGACACTGAATACACTACAACTGAATAAGCTGTAGCTGTAGCTTTGTGTAGTCATACAATTGCCATGTTAAACTGTTTTTGACTGTGTTATGTGATTCATTGATGATGTTCTTAAACTGACACATTTAATCTAGGTTTCACAAGAAAATGTTAAGAATACTCTTGTTATTTTTTCCACTTTTTTGATTTAAATTTTAAAGTCCAGTGTTGCAATAATACAGTTATATAGGGGCAGTACACTCGTACTCTAGTTTAAACCCATGAGCCAGATCTACAAGTGATATCTATTTCTATGGTGAATTTTTTTATTTACTGCCTGCACAGGTTTACTTACAGTTTTAAACTGATCAAGCCATAGATGTTTTTCAAGTAGAACTGTGAAATTTAGGTCAGGTCCTCCAAGTCCTTTCTTTCTGAAAGTTCAGATTAAGTAATAAGTAGAAGAACTGAGTAAATGAGTAAGTTTGTGAACAAGCAACTGAAAACTGCATGCTTTTATATACAAATATGGCAGCAGTGGGAATCAGGAGGTGTGGGAGGTAGTATTGTCTCCGCTGCAACTTGTCTCCTGACCAGGAAAATTCCCAGAGAGTACCATCACAATTCAGTGCAAATGAATTAAGATGTTGTCCTCAGTTAAGAAGAGGAATCAGTGTGGGAGGGGGCTGAGCAGGCCTAATTTTCTCCATCTAAAAATTAGTTAACTTTGTAGACTACTTTATCTTACTCTACATCTATGTAGCAAACTGAACAACAGTCCCTAACATGCAGTTTTTACCCTGCTCCCTGACACAGTTTAAGTCCCCAACAGGTCCTCTGGCCACAGTTCAGAGGACAGCATGTGCCAGGGACCGTTCACAACAGTATTTCCACCCTGTTCTGCAGAAGAAGAGTTGTTAGATGTCTGGATGTGAAACTCATCATGCCACTTGTCGCTGTGGTTAGAGTCCTGCTTCTGGTCTCGTTTAGTTTAATAGTATATATGATGTAGCCATACATGTCAATGGAGGTAGGAGAGAATCGCCACATATTAAGGAAAATTAGTTGTGTTTTAGCTATAGAAAGACCCCATGTAGCTAGCTTAGATGAGACACCTGACTTCAGACAGCAAAAGTAGATGTAGCAGATCCCACCCACGGGGAATTCAGTAGAGATTCTGGTTTAGCTGTCTTTTAAGCTGCTTTAATGAACACAATAGCCTGGATTCATTC